ATATGTGGACATATGACAATAGTTTTGTGAGTAAAAAGGATCTAACTTTTGCCACTATAATTTTATCTTGTTTTTGTTTGTATTGCTTATTTGTTGCCCATGGAAGGGAGAGAGAAGAAAATGAGGCTTAAAGAGGAGAATGATGGCAAGAGCTTGTGTATGTAGTAATTGCCTGCATATCATAGTTTTCATTGTCTACTCTTATAGCTAACATACCTACTTTCATAGTTGTCATTACTTGCCCTTATAGTTATCATTGCCTATTGTCAAAGTTGTTATTGTCAAAGGTTATGTTCAGATTGATATGCGAGTTTATTTGTAGGAAAAATGAATGAAAGAGTTGAAGGTTGGATGCTTATAGTAGCTTGTTACTTATCGAAACAATGAACATAAGGATAAAGTGCTATCCATGTTACACTATAACAAATCGCATCGCTTACCTCTCAAACTCATGTCTGTTTTACAAAACAGATGAGAATACTCCACATTCTTATCTGTTTTGTAAAACAAAAGAGAATACAAGATACATTCTCATCTGATGTACAGAAATAGACGAGAAGTGAGAATATTCTCCTCTATTTTGGGAACCAGACGAGAGTAAGGTCCTTATTCTCAATTGTTTCCAAAATTAAACAAGAATAAAAGAAAATGCAAGATACATTCTCGTCTGGTGTACAAAAATAGACGAGAAGTGAGAATATTCTCCTCTGTTTTGGGGACCTTTGGGAACCAGACGAGAGTAAGGTCCTTATTCTCAATCATTTCCAAAATTAAACGAGAACAAAAAGAATATTCTTGTCTAGTTCCTCAAAACAGAGGAGAATAGAAGTTCCTTCTTTTGTTTTCTTTTCAAATTTTCTTAGGTTTTTACCTAGGTTTTTATTCACTCTCCCTGGCTCGGTGACCTAACCCAGGTTTCCCTTACTTCTGCAATGCAACCCAGCTTTTCCTCACTGCCGTCAACTCTTCTTCCTTCACATTTCACTTTACTCACCAACAATAAACTCCCGAAGCGTCACAGCCGTCCCTCAGCATCAACTATGTGTCTTCTATAGCAGGTGATGAGATCTGTAATATCGTCTTCAACCAGTAGTAGATCTACTGTTGTTGAGCATCCTAGGGAAGGGAAAGTGTGTCGCTATCATCCAATGCTGTCTCCTCTTTCTTTCTCTTCGTCCACCCACCATTCAACATCATCTATTTGTTCGGTCAGGAAAGAGTGTGTATCCATTATTTCTTCTGCTAGTGTGTATGTTCTATTTTCTAGTTGGCATGCGTAAGAGAAGGAGCGAGAATGTGATGTGCTAGTGTGAGTTGAATATTTATTTTCCCCATTTTAGTTGATAAGCCTACTGTGTGTGTGTTTCAAATTTAAAGGGGCAAATAAATAACATTGTGTGAATAGCACAAGATATTTGTCAAAATGTGTATGAGAGGAATTTGGTTGCAATAAGCGGGGATGGAGAGTTTCTAGCTTTTAAATATCTTCTTTTAGATTTCGTATTGAATTATATTGTGCATTTCTGTTCAACAGTAAAGAAGATGGAATTATTGGTTTGGGATGGATTAGATCAGCAATAGCAAAGCAATGGCAAAACTTGTGATTCAAAACTTAGAGGCATATTTCCTCAAGTAGCCATTTCTGAGTTTAATAATTTAATTGAGGTCCGTGACTTCAAATTCTACAAGATTGTATTGTTAACATCTCCTCTTAATAGCTCATTTACATTAGGTTCAGTTTAACACCTTAATTTACCACCTCTTTTTACATTAAATAGAAGCAATTAGAACCATTTAATAAGTCTTTAAGTTGGAAAAATTTTAAATTTACTTTCTCAAGTTACTATTCATTATAACCTTAAAAATTGGTACAAATTTGAAAATCCATAGCAAATTCTAGAAAAATCAAAATGAGATGGTTTTAAGTTCCACTTGAAGCTTATAGAGATATATTTAGGAAACAAATACTTCTAGGTTATGAATTCAGCTCGTATATGCCCAATTTTCATGTCAATATATACTATTTATATGGTCAATTATCCAATTTTTTCAGAGTTTATGTCTAACTTTGGATAGGTATAACTTTTCGTAAAAAACTTCAAACTTTATGAATTAACACTAATTTTAAAGCTAAAAATGATATCTATTGATCTGTCATATTTCATTATCAAACACCGTCATTTGCTTAGAATCTCATGTGGTCAAACTTTGGTCCATTTTAGGTCAAATTCCATCCTTTAAGAGGTCAACTTATTATAATTCAACCTTAGCAATTCAAACATGCTTATACTATAATTCACAGCATTAAACAAGTATTCTTCACTTAGGTTACATGCTTCCAAACAATCATCAAGTCATCAAAATCACAATTATTACAACATTGTAATATAATATTCATAAAGTTCCATATAACCACACATAATCATTCCTCAAAGTGAGATCACTTCCTTGCCTTTCCCTTGACTACTTACAGCCCCTAATGGTGTTATTCTGAGCATAAAGAAGAGTGAGATTTCATGAAAATCTCAATAGCACCTCAATCAAGCAAAGCATGTTACATATGATTTCACAAGATATCAATCGTTCATGTCATGCAAAGGGAGCAACAAACCACGTTAAAAATTAATTGAAAAATGTATATAGCTAAGGCATACAATAAAACATTATCATCCATGCAACTCTACCACATCATGGCATATAAATAAAGAATTACACTTAGCAACAATCAAGGAAATTAACATCAAATTGTAAGTTCTATGCTACCTCTTAATCCACTTAATCACACAGCCTCTTGTCCTTGATTTTGACCTCTCACTTGCTCAACAATAATCCCTATTAAACAACAAGAACAATGGTATTCCAACTCAATAACATCCATTAAACAATTAACTCCAAAACCCTAACCCTAGCTTTAACTTTTATTTTAGGGCTTTAGCATCATCTTCCTAACAATTCTCATATGCTTTTCCTACATGATTTTTCATGTAGAATCCATATTTAAACTTAGATTTATAAAAAACCAACCTCTTCCGTCATTTTTCAATTTGGCTGAGAGGTAGGTTTAGGCTTCCAAAATTTCTATTTTCAATTTTAATGCTTCTAAACACATACTCTCCACATACTCCTATACAAATTCACCTTCTAAACTCATTGAAAGCATCAAAATATCAAAAATAAAACCCTAGAATAATATACCAGCTCTGGACGAATAGTACCTCAAGATTACATAAGTTGATATCTTTCAAATAACAGGGTTTAATCATCATCAAACAACCATTTTCTATTCCCTAATCCACATATCAACTTAGAATCAATCATATTCCATCACAGGGTCATTCAAACAGTAGCCTCCCTCAAGAGTTTCAACTATTAAACTCCATCAAAACCATGTTTAAAACCATCAATCTAACTAAAATCATGCACTAGAGGGGATAATCATGCTTTTACCTTGGTTAAGGACTTGAAATCACCTTGATTTTCCTTGTTCTTTCTCTCCTCCTCTTTGTCCTTGCTTGAATGAAAAGTTATGCTCTCCAAGCCCTAAGATGACTGGAAAAAAATGACTTGAGCGGAGAGGGATAGTATATATAAACGTGCCCTTAAACATTGGTATGCGGTAACTTGAATTACCATTTATTTTTACCACACCACCAGACATATGGCTTTATCCTCTCTCTTCTTCCTTCAAAACATGCTACATGCCCCCTTAGGTGTCTTCTAAATTGAATGAAGATGCCACCTCAAGGGATACATAAACACGCACGTGTAAAAATCTTCATACTTTATTCATAATTCCAATCTTTCAATTCTATCCTTTAACAAATTTTATTATTTCACTTGGGTCCTCTCCCTCCTCAAGTGGTGCCATTTTGTTCAAAAGAATTGGGGAAAAATTTGTCCCTACCAAGCTTATGGTGATTGTACTATATAATCTCACGTTATCAGTTAAATTTTTCTTAGATCCTATTAAATCTACTATCTCCAAAAATTTATTTCCTTATACCAATAACTTCCTTTTGATAAGAAGAGGTTCCTCTAATTTTCTCAGATTTTATTTTAGCCTATAATTCCTTTAATTAAATTTTTCTCGAAATCGGCCTTTTACACATATAATTCAGATTTAAATAATTTAAAGCTAATCTCTACATCTCTAAAGACTAGGAAACAATTTTAGAATTCATAATAACCTTTCAAATAATTTTTCTAATATTGTTCATGAATTATTAAGTTCTCTGTATATTTAAAATAATTTGATTTGGCTAATTGTTCTTAATTAGTCGAAATTTTGAGAAAACATAGAAAATTCCAAAATAAATTGTTTTCATATTATTTTGATCTTTCAAGCTTCAAATACTATTCTATACCCTTTAATCTATTTTTCATGATTTTTTGAAAATTTTCTAGAATTTCAGGTACATTTTCTCACTCTATTCAATATTGACCGGATATTTTGAAAATGATAGTCTAGTCTCTGGTTTGGTTTTAGTTTAAAAGTTGTGCCGTCTATCTGTCAATCACCGTGCTTGACCCATAATCTATTTTATATTCCTCATTTTCAGGATTAAAATTAACAGGATGTGACATTCAATAGCATCAACACGATGACTTGATGTTTTTCACAACTTGGTTATGGAGTATTGAAGAATTTAATTGCTGATATCTAAAAAATTGTACTTTTAGCAGCACATTTACATTATGGTATAATGACTTCACACTAAGTTGATGAAAACTTGGCTTATTTTATCTCTCTATTTGCAGTGACAGTTGATTTGAACCTTGCTTGCAAGTGCTCTGTTTTCTACATGGACTATTGGCATCGCATTAATTTGTTATAATATTAGCATTTATGATGTTATTTATATCCATGTTTTGAATTTCTGCGTTCTTTAAGTCTGTTACTAGTTATGGTCTCACTAGCAATTCTTCAAGGATATTGTGGTCCTATTATCAATGAAAACAACAGCAATTCTTTATTTTTTTCCCCCCTTTAAAAAAGGACTATGAGGTAATTAAGTAGGAAAGAAAAGTCAATCATGGTAACATGATAGTAATAAAGGCGACTCATTTCCCAACTCCTCCCTGCCTAAACAATGATCGAAAAAACCAAGATGATTATTTTATTCATGTGATTTTTTTAAAATATAAATTTGGGTTCCTTGTCCATATTTTATAAATAATGTTTCATTTTTCTGCTGTCCAGCTTCATGTTTTACTATTTGCAAAATGTGACGCTTGCATAGATGGATTTAAGGGCTTATGAAAAGAGTAAGGATTTCTAAGTTTCCCATGTTTTCATTTATGGGTAGTGACGTAGATCAAAGTCTAGATGACTATCTTCTTAAATTAGTTTAACTCGTAAGTTTAACCTATTGGTTTATATTATACTCATTTTCTTTGTGTATTTGGCAGACTGTCAGATTTTTCAAACAACACTATTGCCCGTATTTTTCTCATCTCACTTGACATAGAGGGTTTTATTTTTGTTTTTCCATATCTTTGCTTTCTTTTTTATTTTAAGAGGAGTTTTTGTCCTCCTGTAGTTTCTTGTATTAAATTTTCATGAAAAAGCCAATGAGAAATAGGATATTTGATGTCTATTTAGATTAGATTGGGTTAATGTGAAATTTAATCATAACCATGGAGGTAGCAAGGATAAGTTGCCTTGTGAAAGATGCCTTGAGGTTTTGTAGGGAGCTAGTGACTTTCCAAGCTGCTATACATAATGCTATTATAATTAAAAGGTGAGTTTGCATGATTAATTGGATCAGTCTTACTTACAATTAGTAGAGGGAGACTTTAGAGTTAATATATATGAAGGTCAAATACCTGAAAGACCATAGGAAAAAAAATAATTATGATCTTTCGAAAGAAGTTTTATTTCTCATATGACAAGAGATCGAGCAGCTGTTTTATATGTTTTAATTTGTTTCTAATCTTTTTGTTTGATTATCCCAACTATCACTCTTTATACTTTCTCCTCTTTCTAATAAAAGAAGTGTATAGTTGAATGAATAAATAATTCTTTGGCTAAAGATTAATTTTTTAGCTTCTCTAATTCTAAATATCTTAAAATGACTGCCATGCATGCTTCTGCTAAAATTGTTTTGGTTGTCTTAGGTTCAAAGGTCATGATATACTTGCTCCTTTCACCGTTAGATGGTAGACTACTAATTTGAATCCTTTAGTTATAGAAAGATGATAGGTGAACTTCGTCTTCTCTTGCTTAAATTTTTTTTTTTTTATATTTCAGTTGACATTAAAGCATTAATCATTGTTTTTCTTGTCTATATTTATCATTCATTCAAGAATTTATTAGAAAATTGTCATATTTGATTATTCACCTCACAAGTCAACTTCAGTTCAAGAATTACGTTTTGTGCAGCCATGATCCCGGATACTGCTGCTCTTTATTCTTCACCACAAGTGCTGTAAGTCTCACATTACTGATTATCTCTGGGTTCAAGCATAGATAAGTGAAGACATAGTCTACTCTGCTCCAAACATCATTTGTTTATTCTACTTAGTTATTTTGAAGACTAGTTTGTATTCTACCCTATCACATCTTAGTTTTAAACCTCATTTTATTTCAATTGGAACCATTTTGGATAATATCTTATGACTTAAGTTGGAAAATTTTGAACTTTAAATTTTCTTAAATTCGGGTTACTATTCATAGTAACCCTTATGAAGGCCAAACTTTGAAAATTTATAACTAATTCTAGAAAAATTAAAATGAGATGGTTCTAAGTTCTATGGAAAGCTCTTGACATGCTCTTTAAAGAAAAAAATATCATTGGCATCCAAAACTCAAGCAACAATCTCAAATTTCGTTCAAAGTGGAACTATTCATATGGTCATTTTTCAATTTTTCAGAATTTATGTCCAACTTTGGAAGGACATAACTTTTTGTACAAAACTCCAAATTTAGTGAGATACCACTTGTTTTAAAACTAAAAATATAATCAATCTGCCTGCCAAGTGTCAGCCAATTTCTCATCCAATTACACAAAATCTCGTTGGTCAAACTTTACCCATTAAAAGTTAACTTTTATCCCTTTTTATGCAATTCTCACCTTTTTCTTCTCTCTCCCTTCCACAGAACTATTCCAATTACAAATCACATGCTTAGACATAATTCCTTGGCCAATATCTGCTTGCATAGTACTTTGATCATTATTACAATATTCCAACATAATTCATAATGTTGCATAACAATTCATAATAATTACAAACCATATACATAAGGTTCAACATAAATTCAATATAATTTCATAACATTTCCTTCATGGGAATACCATCTCATTGCCCTTGATCACATTATTTGAGGTTCCTATTGATTGTTTATACATTGAGAGGAATGAGATTTCATAGAAATCTCAGTAGTAGGAATTACAATAATAATGTCAAACATGTAAGGTAAGTTACATATAGATTCATGAATATTCTATGCCATACAAATATCATCACAGTTCACTCATAAACAACATGTTAATGCATGATGCTAAAGCATGCAATGCAACCAACTAACATGTCATTTTCATTAATAATCTCAAACATAACATAGCACATATTCAAGTAATCATATCATGTAACAACTAAGCAAGTTAACATTACAAATTGTAAATTCCATGCTTCCTCTTTTTAATGCACAATTTTCAGTTTCCTTGATTCCTTTGGGTTCCTCCTTGTCCTCTTGCACAATGTTTATCAATTCATGCATAAACATATCTCAAATTACCAATAGTCCAAGTATAAACATTAATGTTCAACCTTGAATTTAATTAAACCCCTTTTTCTTGATTTTTGACATAATTATTTTCTCTTTATTTCCATCAATTTCTTGGTCCATTCCTATACAAGTTTTCATGTAGAATCCAAATATCAAATTAGATTTAACAAAATCATACTCCTTCGCCTTCAATTCATTTTGGCCGAATAGGTAGGGTAGATATTCCAAAATTTTTATTTTTGATTCCAATGATTTTAAATACTTTTCCTTAGTGCTTCCCTATACAAAAATACCTTTTAAACTCATTGGAATCATCAAATTACATTGAAACAATCTCTAGCTTCAAGATTCCATAGTGACTGAATAGGATGTTTTAAGCCCTAACTTTGGTTTTCTTCCAAAATTCAATCCAAACACCCTTTAAACATGTTAATTCAAGCTTATACTCAAGGCTTCTATCCTTCTCTAACACATATTCAATTCAGTAAAAAATGAACAGCATAATAATCTCAATTATAATTTGAATTTTCAACCAAAACAAGCTTTAAACTCAACCAAAATCAAGCTCAAACTTACCTCAATGAATCATTGATCAAAGCTTGATTTTTCTTCTTCCAATTGCACGGTTAAAGGCCCTCTCTTAAGGTCAAGAATTCAATTTGGCAGCACCTCCCTTAAGTTTCTCAATTTTGACCGAATTATGCTTAATATGAGGGGTACTTATAGACCAAAAATCTGGCCTCCCTCTCCTCACTTGTGGCTGAAAATTGGCCGACAAAAATGGCCATGTGGATGCCATCAATTGCCCCAATATTTTGATTTGTCCAAGTGTCTGTTTGCTTGATTTTTTCTCATTGATATTTTGGCCTAATTTGGGCTTAAGACTCCTTAATTGTTGGGCCACCATTTGCATAAAATTTTTGAGCCTTCTTGGCCTAATATGAAGCCCAAATCTAATTTAAAAAGGAAGAAAAAGTGGGGCACACTCATAAATATCAATTTTTGACCAAAACTCATTATGTCAGTTACTATTTCCAAAAATAGTTTTGGGCCTCTAAAAATTCATTTCTCCCCATCAAAAACTCTTTTCTAATGCCAGAAAACATTCTGAAAAATTTGGAAATTTATCTCCACCTCTAACTATTTATTTTGAATTTTCTCCAAAATACGACTTTATTGATAAGATTTTGGTAATTAAATATTCTAAAATTAATCCTTTCACCTCCAGGGCCTAAAATTTTTTTTATAAATTCCAATAAATCCTTAATTAATTTCTCCCAAATTTTTTCAAAGTTATTGAAGCCTCTGTATATTTAAAATAATTATTTTGGGCTAATTTTTCACTATATTTTTCAAAAAACCTCTGTTTACATAAAATTATGTAATAATTTATTTTTATACCATTTTCACCTCTAAGGCCTCAATTAGGGTTTCAAAACCTCTAATTTATCTTTTTACCATTTTTCAAAAATTTCTACGATTTTCTCCAATTTTCCTATTTTGCTCTTCTTGTACCAATAATTTCAAAAATATCAGTCCAGAAAAGGGTAGGAGCTTAACTCAAAAGTTGTTCTGCTTCTGAGTCCACTTTACTATTTGGCCTTTTATCTAATTTATTATTCATATTCTCAATGTTAAATTTAACAAGATGTGACATACCCATCTAGTTTAACCCCTTGAATTCAAAAAATTGATAAACGTTAGAGTTTCAATATTGGATATAGATGCTAGCAGCTTGAGATTAATCTTGAATCATTTTTGCTATTAATACACTTATTATTATTATTATTATTATTATTATTATAATAATATATAACTCTTTTTTGAGGAAGTATTTACGTAATGATAACAAGCATATGGCTTTTTTTAAAAAAAAAAAACTACTTTTTGCTTCTGTTTTTGAAAAACAAAGGTAAAAAGACCCACATTTCACTAGGGAATGTGGGAGTTTTCACATCTGTTTTTGAAAAAACGGACGTGAAAAGTCTTATTTTTTATGTCTGTTTTGAATAGTCATGAAAAATGCGACTTTTTATGTCTGTTCAAAACAGAAGTGAAATTTGAGGTACTTAGAATGTCTCTTCTTTTTATGTCTCCCCTTCAAAAATAGAGGTAAAAATTTCTCTAGAGCAGAGCCAAAAAGTGTTTACTATAGTAGTATTACCAAGCTTCAACCAAAGCAATAAGAGAAGATAGATGTAGACGGACTATGATTGAATGCTTATGGAAGTGATTTCATTTTATTTTTTTCTCACTTAGGCCTAGCATTGATTGTAAGGTTATTGGCAATTAAGAATGCTAGAAATGACTACTGATGGTCCCATGATTGATAACTCATTTTGCAGCATGACAAATTCAATTATATTGTTCTATATAATATTATTACTTACTTTCTTCCCCATATATTATATGTTTTCAAATTCTTTAGAATTTAAACCAAAAAAAAACTAAGAATATTATATCACATTATATCAGCAGAAATTTTAACAAGCAAGGGCGTATATATTAACAACTATGGGTGTAAAACTTAACAAGTGCAAGTATCCAAATTAACAAATGATGGTCTAGTTGTTGAGAACACATTCTGTAGCATGAAAATTGACAAGTGATATATTATCTTTACCTTCTTTCACGCGCGCACACACATATATATTCACATATAACCTATTTCCATATTATTTATGTTTTAAAACAAAAAATAGAATAATTCTCAAAATGACATATCAACCGAAAAATTAATAAGTAAAGATGGTATTATTAACAACAAAGGGTGAAGATATTAACATTTTGTAGCATAAAAATTGACAAGTAAAAGTGTTTGTACTGACCAATTAATATGCAAAAATTAACAACTGAGAGTGCTAACTTTAATTTATATTAGATTTTTAGTAGCATAGAAATTAACAAGTGAGATGCTTGCATTGACAAATAAAGATATCATAATTGACAACTCTCTTTATATATATCAATGTATTTCACTTATAAATATGTCAAGTAATATTTTTGCTCATACACATTTTTTGATCAACCATCAGACAATAATACCGAAAGTAGTGCACAAGAATTTGGGAAAAAAATACATATTTTTATTACATTGAAGTTGCATTACAACACATTTAATCATAACATACAAAACTAGTGCAATCTCAAATAGCTCTAAATTAAATTTCATAGAATTTACATTCTTCTCTTCGAACCTTATATTATCTTCTCTTACCCTTCCATGGCCTTTTGTCACTCTTCTGTGGCCTTTAGTTTCTCTTCTATATCCTTCTCTACTATTACATTAGTTTTCATTTGTGCTTCCTTACTTGTCGATGGTGACATCTTGTCAATAAATACACTTCCATTTGTTATTTTTCTATTGCTAACAATGTTAGATAATCGATGCCCTACTCTACGCACCAATCAAATCTAACACAGATCCCAAAAATAGAGAATTTAAATCAAATCGAGCTTTACAAGGAAGCATCTATAAAAGGAGATTTCTTAGTAAAAGTTAAATTTCTCTGTAAAAACTCCACACGAAAGTTGCTATTCCTATCAGTAGGTCTCCATATCTTACTACATATGTAGCTCAAGTTGAAACCGTCTCCAACTTAGGTTACCACAATCAAGCAATAAAAATAGTGCAGTTGAAAGTGAAAACATGAAACATATACAGTTATATGATTGAATGGCACATGATCCTATGATCTATTTCAGCTTACGTCAAAATAATAAAATAATTATCAACTTGACATAGCAGACACTGTCAAATAAAAGTTTAACATATCTAGTTCAACTAAATTGTATGGTATTAAAACCCAGATTGGACGGGCCGGTTCGGATCGAAAACTGACAAACCAGTTACTTGTCCGATCCAGTTCTTATCTAAAAC